GGGTGCTGGAGGCAGGGGTGAGGGTGCTGGGGGCAGGGGCTGAGCATGCTGGGGGTGGGGGTGAGGGTGCTGGGGTGGGGACAAGTGCACACACAGCCTTTTTCTGACTCTAAGTGAGGCCCCAGCCCCCAGCCCCCAGCCCCCTGCCCCCTCCCCCCTCCCCCCTCCCCATACCTCCCCTAAAGCCCAGCCAGCACTGGGCAACACTCAGGGGGCTAGCTTTTAAGGACTTGTTTGTCACTGTTAAATTCTGTAGCAATTCTGCATGGGCATCTTGGACCTCAGGCTTAGGCGGACATGTTGCTTCTGGGGGGAAGCAGAGGCGTAGACGGTTGGGGCCCCAGGAGCTTAGGAAGCAGTGGCTGCAGGAGAGGAATGCAGTTATTCTTGAAAGGAGCAGCCCAGGTCCCTTCTTCCCTCCTGCCAATGCTCTTAGCAGTCCCTCCCCTGGCTGTGGGGACATACAGGGCTCCAGTGACTTCAAGAGCCACACCGGCCCAGCCCCTGCTTTAGGCAGTTCTCATAATTGCAAAAATACCTCTGCACATTGAGATTCACTGTCTAGCAGGCATTGGGCTGGGCTCTTCTTCCTGGCCCTTGAATGAACCGAGTTCAGTCCAACTCACGGCCTTTGCACTCGCCATTTCTTCTGCCTGACATGACCTTTCCTCGGAATTTTTCTACGCTCATTTCTTCTTATCAAAGGGTATTTCTTATAATGTCACCTCCTCTGAGAAGGCTCTCTGACCACTCAAGCTAGAGGAGGCCCTCTTACCCTCAGTCTCGCACGTTATCTTGTTTTTATTTCTTATGTATTTGTTTACCTGTTTATAATCTAGAGCATAGACATTACACTATAAGCTCCTTGAGAGTGGAGTTCTTTTCTTTACCAATATATACCCAACAGCTAGCAGGATGCCTGGCACATAGTAGGTGCTCAGTTATAAATATTTGTAGAATACATGAATATGCAAATGAGTGATATTACCAGGTTTATAATAATTCCATGAATTTGGTGCTATGATTTCTCTTCTGATGATGGGGATGCTGAGGCTCAGAGAGGCTAAAAATCATCCCAAGGTCACACTGCTAGTCAGTGGTGAGGCAGAACTTGAACCCCAGCTTTCTGACACTGGAGTCCTTAATTGCTCTGTCGTGTTGCATTTTCAGCATTTATCACAGAGCCTGACACATACTTGATGCTTAATATATATTTGCATGAATGAATGAATGAATGAATGCATAATTTAGTAAATGGACCCAGTGTGTCCAATACATCATTCTGGCTAGGATGAGAATCAACTCTTGGAAAGGAGTTTTCTTGGTTGACTCTTTTTCTGAAGCTTTTTTCTTGGTGGGCAGGTGGTGGGGACAGTGGGAGGGCAAAAGTGCAGCCCCCACGACCGGACACGGTGGTTCATACCTGCAATTCCAGCACTTTAGGAGGCTAAGGCAGGAGGATTGCTTAAGGCCAGTAGTTCGAGACCAGCCCAGGCAACATAGTGAGACTTTGTCTCTACAAAAAAAAAAAAAAAAAAAAAAAGGAAGAAGGAAGAAAAAACTAGCTGAGTCAGGTGGCACATGCCTGCAGCTCTAGCTACTTGGGAGGCTGAGGCAGGAGGATCGCTTGAGTCCAGAAGTTAAAGGCTGCAATGAGTTATGATGTGCCACTGCACTGCAGCATGAGCAAAAAAAAGTTAAATGTTTCTGCCTTTCCTCCAGGTACGAGTGGTTTCGGGAACTGGAGCTAAAGTGGTATGCCCTGCCTGCAGTGGCCAACATGCTACTCGAGGTGGGCGGCCTGGAGTTCCCGGGGTGCCCCTTCAATGGCTGGTACATGGGCACAGAGATCGGAGTCCGAGACCTCTGTGACGTCCAGCGCTACAACATCCTGGAGGTAACACAGGCAGCCCAGCTGGCCAGTTGGAGGTATGGGCCTGGGGGTGGCCCCAAGACTGACTCTCCCACATCACTCTGCCTCTGTAGGAAGTGGGCAGGAGAATGGGCTTGGAAACGCACAAGCTGGCTTCTCTCTGGAAAGACCAGGCTGTAGTTGAGATCAACATTGCTGTGCTCCATAGTTTCCAGGTACGGCTGGAGTTTTGCGAGTCTGAAGACTTTTTGGTTAGAAGGTCATCTGATCCAGAGACTTGTGTGATGCTTGATTTCCCCTCCAGTATCAGTCATTCGTGCATGCCTGCATCAGACAAGCGTGGAAGACCCAGTTAGTGCCAGGCACGGTGCTGGGATACAGAAATAAGGCAGCCAGCTTGCTCACCCTAGCTACAGGCAGCTCCTCACCTCCCAAGACTGTTCAGTCCCTGCCCTTGAGCACCGAATCCTGTCCTCTCTCAATCGCTTGGGGACTTTACTCCCGAAAATTTCCCTCTTCTCCTTCCGTATCATCAGTGTCTTTCTCTCTGCTGAGTCATTCCCAGCAGTCCATAGACAGGCTCTCCTAGCCCCATCTCAAAGCAATAAATGAATAGCTAACCACATAACTCCTCCCAAACCTCAGGCTCCCTCCAGCCACTGCTCCACTTTTCTGCTCCTTCCTACAGCAAAACTGTGGGGAGATCTCACCACGCTTCCTCATCCGCCCGCTGCTCCAGTCCGGCTTTCACTCCCTGCCACTCCTCTGGTCATGCTGGAATTCTTGCTGTTTTTCCCCCCACAGGGAAAATCATCCCCTGGCTGGCCCCTTCCCTTCACGCAGGCCTCAATGGCCATCTCCTTAAAGAAGCCTTCCCTGACCGTGGCATGTAAAGTGACACCCTCACCCCACTGCCAACCTGTCTCTCTGTGTTAGTCCTGTAACCATTCTATTTTTCTTCATAAGACTTCATCATACAGATCTTGGCATTATATAGGACATTGAGTTTCTTTTTTCTTTTCTTTCTTTTTTTTTGTTTTTGAGACATCATCTCACTTGGCCACCCAGGCTGGAGTGCAGTGGTGTGATCACTGCGGCCTTCACCTCCCAGGCTGAAGTGATCCTCCCACCTTAGCCTGCTGAGTAGCTGGGACTACAGGTGTACACCAAGCTTGCCTAATCTGTGTATTTTTTATTGAGATGGAGTTTTTCCATGTTGGCCAGGTTGGTCCTAAACTCCTAGCCTCAAGTGATCCTCCTGCCTCAGCCTCCCAAAGCGCTGGGATTACAGGCATGAGCCAGTGCACTGGGCCGGCTTGCTTTCTTTATCGTTTTGTTTCCCCCACCTAGAATGTAAGCTCTGTGGGGCAGGGACCTTGTCTCTCTGTTCACTGCTGCACCTCTAGCCTAGAAGAGTGCCTGGCACACAGTAGGTGTTAAAATAATATGTCCTGGAAGAATGAATAATGAGAGTCACATCCACATTCTGGCCTGGCACAGACTGGGTCTTCAGTCCTTGTCCGATGCCTGCATGAACGAGGGATGCTGGGAGGGACTGATGAGCTGTGGCTGCCCTTGCTTGCTGTGTGAGAGTGATGACGGTCTCCACCTCCTCTTAAGCCCACACACACCTGGTGGGCTCCTGTGTGGGGCTGAGTCCTCTGGCCCATCCGCTGCTCTTACTCATGTAAACACTTCCCTGTGGGAAGGAGGCCTGGGATGCTACATCCTAGAAGGTACTACTTCAGAAGCCATGGCCATTGCCACGAAGCTGACAGACGCCTTGGAGACCCCACCACTGGGCAGTCATTCATTCAGCAACGTTTTATGCAGCATTTGCCTGGTGCCAGGTACTAGGCTGGGCCAAGGCTGTGAGTGGTGAGCAGACTACAGTTGAGCACACACCGTTCCCCACGGCTGGGTCACCCTGTAGCAGATCGCGCCTGTGCTTGACAGCGGAGGGGAAGATGGAACAGGAAGAGCCCCCTGGTGTCTCAGGAAGGGCTGGCCTAACCCCACACATCCTGACTCCTGGGGACTCCCAGTACCAGCCCTGACGCTGGCAGGATGTGGACGCGTCCCAAAAAATCCGTGAGCCTCAGCTGTCTCCTGACCGTGGCTGACCATGTCCTTCCACTGCCTGAGCGTCTCCAGGACTTCCTCACCACCCTCCTTCGGGGTAAACTTCAGTAGATGGCCCAGTTTCTTCCTCTGTAAAATGGGGATAGTTATAGTGCCTTGCTCAACTAGTGATTCTAAGAGTTAAGTAAAAGCGTATGCAAAATGTTTAGCTGTCCTGCTTAGCCCATAGGGAATAGTCAGTACACAATGATTTCCTACTATTTATTATGTTGTCATCACAATCGTAGCGACCACTGAGATTTTTTTTTTTTTTTTGGAGATGGAATCTTCCTCTGTTGCCCAGGCTGGAGTGCAGTGGCGTGATCTTGGCTCACTGCAACCCCTACCTCCTAGGTTCAAGTAATTCTCCTGCCTCAGCCTCCCGAGTAGCTGGGATTACAGGACTGCATCACCACACCCGGCTAATTTTTGTGCTTTTAGTAGAGACAGGGTTTCACCGTGTTGGCCAGGCTGGTCTTGAACTCCTGGCCTCAAGTAATCCACCTTACTTGGCCTCCTAAAGTGCTGGGATTACAGGTGTGAGCCACTGCACCCGACCCATAGCTACCACTGAGCTTAGAACTGATCTGGCACCCAGGAGTCGCTGTGTCTTGGAAGAATAAGTGAATGAGAGCCCACATCCACAAGAGTGGTGACTGGACTTTTATATACACATATGTAATTTACATATCTCTATATAATTTTACAAGGCATGGCTGGACTTGCCAGGCCTGATCCCAGGTGGATCCTCTCGTGCTTTCCTGCCTTGACTTATGCAGTGCCCCCCACCCCCAACCAACTTGCACCCCTCTCATGACTCCCTCCTCTCAGGGGCTGCTCCTGAGATTCCCAAGCCTTGGGCCTCTGCCTGGCATTGGATCCTCTCTGCCTTCTCCATCACCTTTGCTTGCCTCAGAGTTTCTAGCAGGCCATGTGAAAATGACTGATTTTCCTCGGCTTCCCACCCAGTTAGACTAGAATCGAATGCAGAGAAGGGGTTGTCTTTCCCTTCTATAACGCCGATGCCTTATGCAGTGCCTGGCAGACAGAAATTGTAAGAGCAGCTAACATTTATTCAGCACTTACTCTCTTTTGCTTATTCCAGTTTATTGCATTCTTTCAACAACCTCATAATATAGGAACTTTTTTTTTTTGGAAACAAAGTCTTGCTCTGTCACCCATGCGGTGGCTCGATCATGCAGCCTTGACCCCCTGGGCTCAAGTGATGTTCCTACCACATCAGCCTCCATGTGTCTGAGAGGGCATGTGCCACCACACCTGGCTAATTTTTAAACTGTTATAGAGACAGGGTCTCACCATGTTTCCCAGGCTGATTTCAAACTCCTGGGCTCAAGCGATCCTCCCAAAGTGCTGGGATTACAGGCATGAGCCACTGCATCGGGCCATTATAGGAATTCTTATCCTTCCCATTTTACAGATGAGGAAACTGAAGCTGAGGGAGATTTAAGAACTAATAGCTCAAGGCCACATGGCGAATAAGAAGCCAGAGTTTAAACCACTATGTTAAAGAAATGTCTCTTGACTGTGTATCTCTTGACTTGAATAGAGGCCTGTGGCTACCTCACTGGACCATTCCATGGGGTTAGACCCCACAGCTCGTAATTTCAGACTGTGATTCGCCTCCGATACACTACAGTTCTCCTAATGCTTCAGACCTCCCCATGGAGGGGTCTGGCTCCTTCTTGGCTGAGGAGGCTACAACCCCAGGGAAGTGACTCTTAGAACTCTCCACTCATACATGGCTGGGATGGTATTTCCTTTACCTGCCAAAAGGCGCTGTGGTTTGAGGTATGCAGATCCAGGGAGAGCCATTTGCTGTGAGTCTAGGAGACTTGTGGGCATGAGAAGATGGATATTTCCCTTAAAGTGTTAAGGGAGGCCCCCTGGGGCTGTTCACTGACTCTGGCTAATGTGCTTTCTTGGACTCCTTCCAATGCTCCACAAGCGCCTTCCATTTGGGTGTTGACTCTCAGCAGGCAAGGAGAGGGCCGGGAGGAGCTGCTGTCCCATGTTACAGATCGCCAGGCCTTCCCGGGCACCCCTGGGAGCCCTGCAGCCACTGGCCCCTCTCCCGACTGCCCCGCACCTTATCTCCTTCCCCTTCTTGCCTTCTGATACAGAAGCAGAATGTGACCATCATGGATCACCACTCAGCTGCAGAATCCTTCATGAAGTACATGCAGAACGAATACCGGGCCCGCGGGGGCTGCCCGGCCGACTGGATTTGGCTGGTCCCTCCCATATCTGGGAGTATCACCCCCGTGTTTCACCAGGAGATGCTGAACTACGTCCTGTCCCCGTTCTACTATTATCAGGTGAGGGCCTTCCTTGCCTCTCCCTCATGGGGCCTTGGGTGTGGCTGTGTGTGTGTGCGTGTGTGTGCATGTGTGTGTGCGTGTGTGTGCACGTGCACATGCGTGCACCTCATGCTTACACATGCAGGACCCAAGGGGAGGCAGGGGTATGTTGTGAAAGCTTTCCAGGCCCTACTCAAGGATGCTGAGCAGCCTTCGTGTGTTTCCACAGAGAGTGGCACTGAAGGAAATGTCTTCTGCTGCACCGCTAGTGGCCTGTGGCTCAGGCGGGGTGGGGGGGTCTGTCATTACACCTGCTTCCACAGAAGCAGAGCGCTGAGGGAATTGGCTGCCGAGACAGACTCTATTGATTCTGCCACTTCTAGCAATAGGGTCTTGGGTGGTCCTTTCACCTTTCTGAGCCCTGATCTTCTCATCTCTAAAAGGGACGGGCTTCCTTCCATGCCAAGGGGTTGTGAGGATCTCAGAGCTGGTATATGGAACAGCTCAGCCCAGTGCCCAGCCCAGAGTGCATTCAGTAGCCATGGGCTATTGAGACGAGTTCATTTTCTGCCAAAAAGGACTTGGGTTAGATTCCAGGAAGAGCTTCCTCCATTGAAAGGTGGTCGCGGGTGCCTGCATGTCCTGGTCCCTTGCCTGTTGTAGTAGCAGCTCTTCTTGCTCTCAAAGGTGTCTTGGTGGGGACTGTATATTATGTCGTCTGCCAGGTGATAAGATGCTAAAAGCAAAAGGGGGCACAGCCTGTTCCTTCCGGAAGGACACTAATGAGAATAAGAGTCAGCCACCCCTTCAATGTGCAGGCGCTATGCTGGGCTTTGGAGAGGCAACTCTGGGGGAGATGCAGCCACAGCCCCCTCTTGCAGGGTTCAGTGACAGGCATGGGGTGCAGGCCAGCCTTCTCTCCCCAGCTCATGATGGTGTAAAGGGTCCTCTACCACTCCAGCATCCACAAGCCAAGCCGAGCTAGGACCCCACCCTGCACTCACATCTCCCTTCTTTTCTGAAGGTAGAGGCCTGGAAAACCCATGACTGGCAGGACAAGAAGCGGAGACCCAAGAGAAGAGAGATTCCATTGAAAGTCTTGGTCAAGTGAGTGGAGTGGCTAGTGGTGATGTGTGAACTGTGTCCCTTCCTTCCAATCAGCCTCCGCCTCTAGGCCTCGCAGGGCAGGGAACGCAGGGAATGGATATTCTTTTTGCTTTTGTTTTTGAGACAGGGTCTTGCTCTGTCATCCAGGCTGGGGTGCAACGACCCGATTACAGCTCACTGCAGCCTTTGCTTCCTGAGCTCAAGTGATCCTCCCACCTGAGCCTCCTGAGTGGCTGGGACCACAGGTACAAACCACCACGCCTGGCTAATTTTATGTTTTGTAGAGATGGGGTCTCGCAATGTTGCCCGGGTTGGCCTCAAACTCCTGGGCTCAAGCGATCCTCCTGCCTCAGCCTCCTAAAGTGCAGGGATTACAGATGGGAGCCACCGCACCTGGCCTGGGAATGTATAGTCTTTGTGGAGTTTGGCTCCCCAAGGTCCAGTCGCCAACTCCAAGGGTCCCCCACTGCCATTGTCCCAAGCTTCTCTCTCCTCCCTTTTCCCAAAGGGACTTTTTATAGTGGGTGAGAGGAGGAAAAAGGTGCGTCGTCACAGTGGGCGGCTGGTGAGAAACGTAGCTTGCTTTTCCCCAACCTGCCCCACTTTAAAAGCTGTCCCCTCCCATTCCCCTGACCCCCCATTTTCTTCTGGAAGGCTGACTCAGCATACAGTGCCCATCTGTCTGTCCCCACAGAGCCGTGCTCTTTGCCTGTATGCTGATGCGCAAGACGATGGCGTCCCGAGTCAGAGTCACCATCCTTTTTGCGACAGAGACGGGAAAATCAGAGGCACTGGCCTGGGACCTGGGGGCCTTGTTCAGCTGTGCCTTTAACCCCAAGGTACCGGCTCCACAGGATGTCTGTTGCTGTCTGTGCTGGTGTGCAGAGGAGTCTAGGAAAGGTTAAAACAGTTTCCCCACTCCTGGATGTCTCAGAGCCTTGGATGTGCTCTTGTGCATCATAAATCTGCAAGAGAAGGATAGACTTGTGCTCAGGGATTCCCAGACTTACGTAGTAGATGAGTTTTTCATGGTGTTCTGGAGAACACAGTTTGATAAACAATTTCATGGTGAATCCAGGCCTTGATATACATCAGCCCCTCTAGCTGAACTTTATTCAGGCTCACCGAACACCTGCTCTGCAGGAGGCAGTGCTGCATGTGAAAGGGGCAAGGGATGGGTGAGCTGCAGAGAAAGAAGACAAGACACAAGGGGTCTGTCTAAGCTATATCCCCTGCCTTCAGCACCTTTGGATAAAATCCAACTATTAGGGAATGACTGCCACATGCTGGGCCAGCCCCAGGCTTGGAGGATCTGAGAGTGAGTGACCCGGCACCAGGCCTTGCCCTCGGGAGCTCTCCAGCATACACCTCACTCTACTTTCCCAGTGCCCTGCGAAGCAGGAGTCAGTGTCATTGTTAACCACAGAGGAAGAGCCTGAGTGTAAAACAGGCTGATGGGTTCTCCAGTGTTGCCTGGCTTCTGGGGGACAGATGTGACCCCGAGTTCAGGGCACAGGCCAGTGTGATGCCGCGATGGGATGAGCTGTGATCTGTACCGCGTAGAGGCCTCAGTCAAGGCAGGACTGATTAATGAGCAGGTCATCCAGGTGACTGAAAACACTGTTGGATTTTCCTCACCTGCTGGCTCCCAGCAGTCTGGAACTGCCAGGAGACTGGTGTCAGGAACCCCATCCTTGGCTGGGTGGACCTGGGTAGAACAGCAAGGTGAGGGCACATTTCCCTGGCCATTCCCTTCAGGGACAGCTGTGACCTGCTCATTCCAATTTTGTGAAAATATGTCCACACACACAGAATTGCAAATAGCAGTGGGTGTGGTGAGAGACATTTGGACATGGGATAGGCAGTATTTTGGAGGCAGAGCCTCAGGGTGTGTTGACAGGTTAGCTACAGTGCGTGAGCGAGTAAGGAGAATTGAGGATGATGTGTTTGAATCGGTTCATTCACCTCTGCTGTGCCAGGCCTGTGCTGGGCACTGGGAGAGACAGATAAGCACAGGAGCCCGGCCTGGGGGAGGTATGGGAGGAAGCCCAGAGTGTCTGTGCAGGGTAGGAAGGGCCCTACTGGGAGCTGAGTGCTGATGCCCACCTGGGTGCCATCCAGGTTCTCTGCATGGACAAGTACAGGCTGAGCTGCCTGGAGGAGGAGCGGCTGCTGCTGGTGGTGACCAGCACGTTCGGGAACGGAGACTGCCCTGGCAACGGAGAGGTGGGTGGCCTGAGGTCTGGATGGCCTAGGGGGCGGTAGGGCGCAGGAGGACCCAGAAAAGGGTCTGGGGGATGCAGCATGTTCTGCAGAGGGCGTCTGGGAGTCAGTGCTCAGGCCACTCTGGGTCACTCAGCTCATTTGCCGGCCTCTGTTGTAATTGGTGCCTTATGGGAGTGCCCCCTTTCCTATGACATAGTTAATATCTTTCTGTGAATGGCCTACCTGTTTATATTCAAAAATTCACATTTAAAGGAAACTTCTGTCACTCTCACAAATGGAAAGCCAGCAAAATGTAAATTCATTGAAAACAAAATTAAGTTGATGAATTTCATCTAGATACTATTCCCTAACCAAGGCGTGCTCTAGCTTTGTTTTTTAAAGAGTCACAGGCAATGAGAGAGGTATTAAGGTTTCATTAGCATCAATTCGAGACGGTCTCTCCAGCGCTCAGAAGAATGAAAATGTAATTGAATGGGAATAACTAAAAAATAAATGATGAAAAGGGAGTAAATTCTCACCACAGGATTTGACACTGGTTCTGCTGGGTCACATATCTTCTGGAATGACCTTGGGTTCCTGGAAAGCCAGGCTGATTTTAGGTACTATGGGACCAACTGTTGTTGCGTCTACCAGGTTCCAAACAAGAAGACAGAATCACGACCCACTGGGAGGCCCTCTGGAGACCCCTGCTATAAGGCAGGCCCCCTCTGCTGGGGCCGGATGGGTGGAGCCAGGCTGTTGCAGGTTCCCCAGTAAGGGGCAGGGCCCTCACGAGTAGCTGCAGTTTAGCTGGGGTGAGAGACAAGCTAAACTTGCCAGCTGACAACCAGGTCCTTGGCCAGGTGGCCCCACATGTAAACCAACTTCCACTGTGGGCCGGGAGCCATCTCTTGCCAGCTGTGGCCATTTTTTCAGAAGGAAAAAGCAGTGTTTTTTTTACTTTTCATCCTGGCTGAGAACTCTGTCTTTCCCTCTCTTTCTAGAAACTAAAGAAATCCCTCTTTACACTGAAAGAGCTCACCAACAAATTCAGGTAAGGCTCCCCCTCCACTCCTTCTAGCCCTGCCCTGTGGACCCAAAGTCTGGGTTCAGGGGATGGAACTGGGTGTGGGGGGGGGGGGGGTCTTCTCAGAGCTGACCAGGCACAGAGGGACCCTGGGTCAGAGGTTCATCCTCGGAATGTGTCAAGGGTCAAGCCACAGAAGCCAAGTCCCTCTCACAAGTCTGCAGGCCAAGCATGGGGTGGTCATGGGAGTTGGTGACAAGGCTGGGGGGTCTGGAGGACCAGAAGGGGGACCAGCTGCATGCTCCATGCTCTGTGCTCCAGCTGGAGGGGGACCCTCCAGGGCTGACCCTCGAGGCTGTTGCTGCTGGGTGCTGAGGGCCAGGAGCTGCTCGCGTGGGACGTGAGTCTCTGTGTGTGTCCTTGGGCAGGTATGCGGTGTTTGGCCTCGGCTCCAGCATGTACCCTCAGTTCTGTGCGTTTGCTCATGACATTGACCAGAAGCTGTCCCACCTGGGGGCCTCTCAGCTCACCCCGACAGGAGAAGGGGATGAGCTCAGTGGGCAGGAGGACGCCTTCCGCAGCTGGGCTGTGCAAACCTTCAAGGTCAGTTTCCAGCCAGAGCTGCCCCACAGCAGGGACATGACAGGGTGCGTTCATGCCTAGGACATCTGTGCTGGGTGTCCTGGGTGGCATGACCTCTGCACCTGGTCCTTGTAGATGCGGTCCCAGGCATGTGACAGGGCCATGGGACTGAGGGCTCAGGTCACTGCTGCCCTCCCTCAGCCCCCCAGAAGAGCTCCACCCTGTGCACATGACTCTGGGGGAGAAGGTGGCACAGAAACCCTGTGCCCTTAGGGAGCTTCAAGTTTAAGGTCTTCTCCCACTGGCAGTCTAGGTCGCCTCTTAACTTCTGTGTCCATCTCAGTCTCGCAGCCAGAGAGAGCTTGGGGACGGGCACCACACAGTGGCAGATCCACTTTGGATCCACTCAGTATCTCCATAGCTCTTTATTGCCCCTGTTGGCCCCAGTGATGTAGGGAACTCATCACTCCTGCAGAGCGTCACTCAGGTGGTGCTTAGGAGCATCAGCTTGCGTCGGGGCAGGCTTGGTTCCAAAGCCCGGGCCTCCCCCATGTGGCTCCACAGCAGGAGCATGGGAAGAACCAGACCTCTCCCGGGGTGGGCTTGAGGATACAACAAGCTCATGCCAGTACTGACAGTCGTAATGGCCAGGCACAGTGGTGCACTCCTGTAATCCCAGCACTTTGAGAGGCTGGTGTGGGCAGATTACTTGAGCCCAGGAGCTTGAAACTAGCCTGGGCAGCATGTAAAACTCGTCTTTACTGAAGATATAGAAAACGGACTGGGCTTGGTGGTGCACACCTGCAGTCTCAGCTACTCGGAAGGCTGAGGCAGGAGGATTGCTTGAGCCCAGGGAGGTTGAGGCTTCAGTGAGCTATGATGGCACCACTGTACTCCAGCCTGGGCGACAGAGTGAGACCCTGTCAGAAAACAAAACAAAACAAACAGTATTTATAATCGTAGCAATAGCTAGCATGTGCCAAGCCCAGGCACCTCTTTGAGGCCTTGCTGTCACTGTATCAGGTAAGTGTGCTTAGAAGTTACACGAAGCACACAGCTTAGTGTTTGGCCCATGGTAAGGGCCTAGAAGGTGGTAGCCCCAGGGGTGGGGATGCTGCTGCTGCTGCTGCTGCTGACCATGAACCCCAGCTGGCTCCACCTTCTTCCAGGCAGCCTGTGAGGCATTTGATGTCCGAGGCAAACAGCACATTCAGATCCCCAAGCTCTACACCTCCAGTGTGACCTGGGACCCGCACCACTACAGGCTCGTGCAGGACTCACAGCCTTTGGACCTCAGCAAAGGGACCTGTTTCTCTGCAGCACACAGGGCTTGTCTGTGTTGGGGTCTGAGCCCTGAGCCTGTGGTCAAGGAGAAACTAGGTCTTTCTGAACAGAGACAGCTGGCCTGGGGGCCCCCCTCTCACTCATGCAAGAGCCTGTTAGGGCACCAGACTCAAGGCACTGATGGAGCCTGTGTCAAGAGGGAGCCCCAGGAGGGTGGTGGAGAGAGAAGGGAGCACCATGTGCCAGGGGCCTACTATATGCGAGGCACTGTGTAGGGTTTCTGGCCCACATGGACTATGTGAGCCTGGACACTTCTCCTGGGAGAAAGACACAGACGGAGAAATTGCAGTTCAGGGAGGTGAAGGAAGTTGCTAGCCTGCGGCCATGTTGGGATCTGAGCCCCAGCCTTCCAGCCGCGAAGGCAGCCAAGTGTCAGGAAGAAAGGTGTCACAGAGGCAATTCCAGGCTGCAGTGGTGAACTCTCCACTCTGTCCCCCGGGTGCTGTGCCCTGTGCCCTAAGACACTCCTGCAGGTTTCCACATGTTTAAGATACCCTCAACATCCTCGATGCTCTCCTGTGGATCCCAAGCCATGGAGACATTCTGGGACTTTCCATTTTTATGTACCTAAATTGAATTTCCCAATATCTAGAAGCAATACCTAGAAACTGCCCTGTATCAGACCAAGGACATTTTTTTTTTTTTTAGACACAATCTCGGTCTGTTGCCCAGGCTGCAGTGCAGTGGTGCGATTCTGGCTCACTGCAACCTCCACCTCCTGGCTTCAAGTGATTCTCCTGCCTCAGCCTCCCTAGTAGCTGGGATTACAGGCACCTACCACCATGTTTGGCTCATTTTTGTATTTTTAGTAGAGATGGGGTTTCACCATGTTGGCTAGGCTGGTCTCGACCTCCTGACCTCCAGTAATCCACCCACCTCAGCCTCCCAAAGTGCTGGGATTACAGGTGTGAGCTGCCCATGCCCAGCCTGACCAAGGATCTTTTTTTTTTTTTTTTTTTTTTTTTTTTTTTTTT